AAAATGGGTTATATAGGGGTTATGTATAGGGATAATGGAAAAGTAAATGGAAACTACTAAAATGGGTTATATAGGGGTTATGTATAGGGATACTGGAAAAGTAAATGGAAACTACTATAATAGGTTCCCTTAAGCCTACACCCTAAACGCTAAACCCTAATCATCAGCCCTAAACCGCGTGTCGAGTCCGGAAATTCACAAAATCAGCCCTCGAGATTGTTAGGCTACAGATGCCGGAATGTAAAAAGTACCAGTATTATTAGGGTTTAGGGTTCAGGGTTTAGGGGTCCTTTGGTTAGCCAGGAATGAAGGAGCGGACCCCTATAGTAGTCCCTATATAACCCATGATATAGATTCCATTTTCTTTTCCATTCCTTCATTCCCAGCTAACCAAAGGCCAGTATGGGGTTTAGGGAGTCCTGCCGGCATCCATCGAAGTTCCGTCGCGATAGCTTTGGCGAGCGGAATGAAGGCACTGTTGCTGCTCTGGCTGACCTGTCCATTCGGCTGAAAGACCCTAAGGATACTTGCATGGGGATAATAGAGGAAATCAAGGAGTCCCCATTAATATTGGATCCTGACTGGTGTAATCCCAAACAAAAAGTTGGCCTCTACAAGAGAAACACCCCAAAACAAATTGAGCATTCCCTCCTATTAAATTTTGATAAGGACAGGTAAGGGGGCACCACGACCCTGCTTCTACCTTCTATTAGGGCCTACGTACCCACTATTAGGAGCCATACATGCCTAGTTACTGCCCTTAACCCTAAACCCGAAAGGGGTACTAGGAAGGTCTAGGACATTCGTTCAATTTAGCTAGGCACAACTTCATAAAATAGAAAGGGCCTGTTAGAATTTGGGATTTAGGGTTGAAGTTAACGGTTACTGGTGGCACAGCACTCCAGATATTCCCAAGGTAATTGAGTCCGTCCTTTGTATTCGAAGGCCCGGCATTCCAAATAATAGCTTTCTGGCCTCACCATTTGCCTTGCTTAGGAGCAGAAAAACTTTACCTTACTGGGCCCCACCGAGGTCGAACAGGGGGTACTTGATGGGGGGCCCCGGCGCCAATCAGGCTTACCCGCTGAGCATTGTATAGGGGCTGCGCTCAGAAAATCCCATAAACTGTTGTTTTCCAAGTTTCCAAAGGCTCAGCTCAGCACAAACTTGCAGGCTCCCAGGCGAAAGGTCGTTAAGTCTAGTTACTGTCCCATTTTGGTGTAAGAGCCGTATTGTACAGGGGCCCCCAAGAAGGAACATAATTTGGAGAACACATACATGCCTGTATAAGTATCGTGGCTAACCCCAAACCCTAAAGCCTCAAGCCTAAACCCTAAGCCCTAAACCCTAAGCCCTAAACCTTCAATGCTAAGGCCTAACTAGACCCTAAACCCGAAGCTCTAAGCCCTGAACCCTAAACATAAACTCCTTGGGTACTTCAACCCTTGGAGGTTGGCTATCCCCATTCCACGCTGTGGTGCTTTTGCTTAGGAATGCACCAATCTACCTGGGTCCTTATATCCAACCTCTTTGTAGGGTTTAGGCTTACAGTTTAAGGCTATTTGGAGTTTATAGCGTTTAGGGTTTAAGGTGCAGAAGGTACTCGCCATAAAGTTAGGCACCCCATAAATGGGTAGGGTATAAGGGTGGAGGTGCTGGGCATGTAGCGCCCGAACACTCTCAGAAGCTACCGCCTGTGCGCTCGCTTGCCCAAAGAATTGAAACCAACATCTTCTAGGGGAAGACCCTACACGCTAAACCGTTTAGGGCTTAAGTAGACTGACCAAGGATGTGGAACTGAATTGATGCTCGAACTCTCTGCATATTTCCCACCTGGAAAACTTTGACCGGGGCTGGCAATTCTCCTCCAAAGGCGCTGGTGGGGCACCAGGCCAAGGGGCACAAAACGTAGAAGCCAAGATACCCAAAGGGTCCATGTACCCAATACTTAGGTACTTGGGTCTTGGGTAATAGTAATTATAGTATTGGTTTTGGGTAAGTATATGATTATCATGTACTTGGACCCCTAGGGATAGGTAGATCTATGTCATGCGTGTTTCTCTAGACTGGAGTTGCCCGGGTTGCCACAGGAAACGCAGGGATCCTAATTTGTGGGACGCCAGCAAGAGGACCGTAATTTTGGAAGATCCCACATGATGGGGTTGGAGAATAAGTATTCCCTCAAAATTCGTTCAGCTGTCTATAGATAAGCGACCCAACAGGGAACTGAAATAACTGGAGTCTCAATGGAGAGCTACCCTCAGGGATCCAATGCACATGCGGCAGTTCACGATGACGCCGCAGCATCGATGTAAATCTATACAACCTTCCCCATGACATCCTGATGGGTCGCTTCTCATATTCAAAAAACATTTTATACCTAGACCCTCCTCCTACCTTTTATTAGGGCCTAAGTACCCACTGTTAGGGGCCACATATCCACAATTAAGGGTACAAGGAGGGTCCTTTTATAGTGATGCTTATCCTTACTTCCTCACTCCCCCACTCTATCTTCAGCAGGGAGAGGCAAGTCACTTTTCTTGCTTGGCCCTTGGAGCCCTTTGAAAACATCTTGAAGGGGAACCCTAAGCCCTAGATTGCATTATTTATCGACGGGGGTTGTCATGGGAGAGGTGCCTAGCTAATAAAGGGGAACGGAAAGGACCATGGAGACTCTTTCATACCCTGAACCGTCTCTAAATCTCCAAACGGCCAGCCCAGTTTTTGGAAGAAAAGAGAGTCCTGCATTTTCGGCTGCTTTGCCGACTTCCAGTCGTATGCCCACCTTGGGGAGCATATGTAAGGGCTTAGGGCTTAGGGCTCAGGATTTAGGGCGTTGGCCTTAGGATTTACGGTTCAGGGCTTAGGGTTTAGGATTTAGGGCTTAGGGTTGAGCGTTTAGGCCTAAAGGTGTTTAACTTATACGTTTTCCAATGCGTAGCATCCAGGGATTCTTCAGGCAATTCAGAGAGGTTGCCATCTTCGGGGGGGTTACAAGGAGAAGTACACCAAGGATTGCAGAGAACGCTCAAAGCTTGGGTTTGCCAGTTCAGCTGGAGGATGTAAGGCTACCTGCTTGACTGCGGCTAAGGGCAGTCGCGCACCAAAAAGGCGCCCTGATATCCAGAATGCTTTCTGTGCTGGGTACTCTCCCTCAAACAAACATGGAAGCTGACCAGGTTGAATGGGCAGTAGTCTTTGTAGGCGCCTTTTTGGGCTGCAAAGTTGGTTTGAGGGAACATACTGTAAGGGGCAGTTTCTGACGCGGTTGTGACTCGCGTGCGTGCTGTCTGCCTAGGGAACAACTAAGGTTTAGGGTTGGGGTAACCCTTAAACCCACAGCCTTTTACAAGCAACTCTTGCTGGGAGGGGATGAGGGTCAGCACGGCCTACTGATACCTGATTTGAAGTATCGACTGTTGAACGAGTCAAGGTGCTTGCAATAGGCATTTGGTGTACATCATGCGCGGTATGTATATGTATACACATATGTATATGTATACATATATGTATATGTATACATATATCTATATGTATACATCTATCTATATGTATACATATATATATATACACGAACCCGTGAGTGTAAGAATTGTTCGGACATAGAACTGGCAATGGTTCAGGCTTCTACCTTACACGGTCCTTCCATACCTTCGGCCTGAAACAACTGCAGACCAAAGCCTAAACCCTGGAACTTAACTAGGGTAGGTCTGGGGAGCCCTATAAAAACTCTTTAGAAGGATAATGTAGGGGTTAAGGCTAGTAAGAAAACAAAAAAAAGTATTTTCAAACCTACCCCTGTATAACCCCAAGCCCTGCACCCCTAAGCATACACCATAAACTCTAAACCCAAACCTGACCTAACACCTAAGTTCCAAACCCAAAGCCCCAAACTCTGTGTGTCCCCATATAACCCATCATTTCCCGATATACCCCATACATATTCCCTAACAATATAACAGTTTCTAGGTTCTTTCCATTATTCCCTATATACTTTCTATATACCCCACCATATACAAACTCTATATTGGAAGCCCCGATGTCATTTAACCCACCATCTCCCAATACCCCTATTTACAACCCCATATCCTAAGACCCTATATACATATGATTCTATAGAACCAGCCCTAGGCAAGAACCGTTAACCCTTAACACCTATATAACCCTATACTAGAAGCCCTAGGCCTCAATCACGCGCGAGCAGCGCGCTTGGTTGATTCGATCGGCGCCTCGCCTGCCGGCTGCAGGCCCGCTGCATCCAGCTGCTTGCCGGTAGCCTGACAGTTTAGGATTTATAGTCTCCCTTAGGTAGATAGAATATGGGGTATATGGGGATCTTATTATAATCTACCCAAAACCACATTCTATATACGTAAGGGGGACTATAGGTTTGGAGTGTTAGGGTTTAGGGTTCAGGGTTTTAGGGTTTAGGCTTTCGGTTTGGGGCTTCGGGCTTAGGATTTGACTTTGGAGTTAATCATGGGCTCGGCTAACCAGACCTCCCTAGACTACCCACCCTAGGCTTCCTGTTACCTTGATTAGCCTCAATTTTCCTTGAAGAATCGGAATTAAGGGGGAACTTGGGAGGGGGGAGTATAGAAGGGGACTGGCAGGGAACCCGTGTGTTTGGGGGTCAACTTACCAAAGACTAGGGCTTAGGATTCAGGATTTCGGGTGGCTTGGGTTCCAAAATCACATCGCCTCCTTCAAGGGGTCATAGGGTTCTACAAGCATATTTGGGATGGGGCTATGTAAGGATATACAGGGAAATGCAAGGATATAAAAGGAGATATTTTCAAAGCTGGGTAGCCTTGGAAACTTGTGCACCATCCGGGAATTGCAGAAGGGAATATAAAGCATCTACTATTAGCAAGGGCCCTATGAGCGTGATTTGGAAAAATGAATCTGTAAGTACTTCCTGGTGCTTGAGAGGGTGTCTGGGAGCAACAGAATGCACAGTAATACAGCAATACTGCAGTGATAGAGGTGAAGATTGTGTTATGGCGAGTAAAGCAATGGTCACACTAAGCAACATAACTTACATGATGCCAGGAGGTCTGCAGCATACTTGAGGAAGTACCTCCACCATACTTGAATCGCATATGCTAGAATGCCGCTCGGCTGGTAGGCCTATGAGCCCCACCCCATACCCTAAACCCCTTCCCGCGCCTACCCTATACTCACTGTATCTGCGGGGCCCTATGGCGTTCGTGCATGCTTGCAATACCAGCGCTGCATACCCCAACTCCTGAACAGTGCGGCTGAGCAGCGGGGAAGATCCGGAATTCCACGGCCTTGGGGTTTAGGAAGTTTAGGGTTCCGGGTTCAGGGTTTAGGGTTTGTCACTAGTTCTCAAACATCTGGGAGTGGTGGGGAATCGAAGCTCCAAACTAATACAGTCCTGCAAGAATCAGATGATGGTCAAAGCATATTATTCGTTCTGGCGGTTTGCCTTACTATAATCCTGCGATTATGGGAGCAGTCCACCAGTAAGGTCTGGAAATTCCGAGACTTGCATTACGACCTAAACAATGTAGAATGATGCAGCTACACATCTACAATGCCGGAACCCTCTGAAGTTCACATGACCACTGCAACAGCGGACGTGAGTAGTAGCCACTCGATACCTCTAACACCACGTCTGTAGCACAAGCAGAGGGACTTAACCCAGACCCCTGATTAATAAACCCCCTCCCATAATGAGATTTCAATATGGATCCTAATTTTAAGGCCGTTAAAAGGACGGGGTTTATTAATCATGGGTCTACATTTCCTTTTTGCGAACCCTGTTTCCTGGACCTGGAGCCCCAGCAGTACCCAAACCCTTCCCACGTGCAGGCTTGAGATCACGAACCCGGTGCACCCTAAATCCAGAATCCGAAGCCTGGCATGATAAGTCCTAAGCCCTCAAACCTAAACCCAGCAATCTCTAAACCACGCACCCACTAATTAAGTCACACATTTCAAACCTTGAGCTATAAACTTCAAATCCTTCGGACAATTATCGCATTCATACTTAGTTCTGTGGCAAGTCCCCGTGATTCACCATCTCTATACCCAACTCCAAAAGTCTTAACGAAGCATGGTTAAACTCTACATCCTAAGCCCAAGGCACTGCAGCCTAAACATTAAACCCAAACCTTAAACACTAAACTCTAATCCTTAAGCCCAATAAGCCCGTTTCAATCTCGTATTCTAAAATCTTTTGCTTGTTAAAGCTGAGCCGCTTTCGGACTTTGCGCAAGCGCTTGTATCGCCACGCCAACTCCCTTTCAAACAGCCCGTGCTAAACCGCGGTTTGGGGTGTAGTGTTCAGGGTTTTGGGTGCTAAACATCCTGGACCACCGTTAGTACCTTTACGGCACGATAGATACCAAGATCATGCAGGGTTTTCAGCATCAACTTTCGGGGTTGCTACCGGGTGCTCCTAGGTCCACTTTGGGAATTTGTATGAGGGATACGCAGGCATGCATCCATACATGCATACACACAGGCGTATGCAGGGTTGCTGTCACTTTTTCTGGGGGGCATGGCGTGTGTGTTCGGATTCAAGGACTCCTAGGGTACACGCAGGGATCCTGCAGTGAGAAATAGGGGCCACGAAGGGGGGCGCCAACTTGTGTTGCTAGGTATCTTGGCTTCTCATGGTTTTGCGTTGCATTCTTGCCTTTAGTTTGTCTCTTACGTCGCTCTAGGTTGGGGTGTAGGGTTCCACGAATAGAGGGAAACTGCCGCGGGAAACGCGGATGTTGAAGGTGTGATTGTGCTGTGCACTGGACTGCCACTACCAGTGGCTGAAGCATGTTCGAACAGTTGAGGACGAATCTCCCCCGCTGATATTGTGGTAAATCATAATCATAATACATATTGAGAATATCTCATATTAGGGGTTTGGGAGGTTATTAGTATATTGTGGTATATTATAGTAAAACTGATCAGGAATATTTTATAGTAGGGGTTAGGTGTGGCAGCCGCTTTCTGAAGTCTCATGTAATCTAAAGTGTGGGCTGGCTACCACATTAAGTTGTGCCTGTAGTCTAAATAAAAACATGATGATTCGAATCGCATCATGCGTATCTGTGTAGGACTTGCGAAACTTCGTTTGAAGCGTTCGTCCGTTTGTGCCCCCACTCGCAACTGTAGGATGGTGCATACTGTAGAAGCCTACATAGTTGCAAATATTTCAGAACCAAATAAAAGAAAAGAACATGAAGAAGGACGTGGTAACTTGGTTCATGTAAGGGTTCATGAGGATTTTATCATCTGGGCGCCTAGGTAACTATACGAATGTCGTAGTGCGAATTTCCATCTACACTTGAGCTATAGGGTAGCTCAAACAGACTTCGGAATGATGTTGGTAATTATTCCGGCTAAACCCCAAACCCCAATCCTGATAATCCCTGAACCCTCAACCTTCAGCTAAGTCTTCGTGGGAGCCAAGTTGCAGGCTAATGGGCATCTATCATCGGGATTTACGTAGCATGTCGAGAATCATTGCCGGACCTGCGGTGGGGATATTTCTAGAAGTTCTAAAGCCCCAAACGTAAACCCAGTCCCTAAACCCCAAACCCTACTTCCCAACCCTAAACCGTCGGCCCCAACCCTTAAACTCAACAACAAGGCAGAATCGAGCCTGTCGGCCGGCAGCCCACATGTCCACGGTGGGATGTACGAGAAGTTTTTGGGTCAACTCTAATCCCACCTGGCGGTGACAGGCTTCTTTTCACAGGTCGTGGTGCGGTGAGCGGTTTGCACGCTCAGAACGAGAACGGGAACACAATTCCGCACCCTTTGGGGCACTTCTTCTTCTCAGGAAGCCTACACATTCCTTCTTAGACCCTCTTAATCTTCAGCTTGAGGACCGCATAATTAATCTATATCTCTTGTGGAACTCTGAAACTTAGGGCCCTAATTACAGTCTAAATCTCTCATTGGAACCCCTCAAGCTGAAGGTTTGTGGGTCTGAGGCAAGTGTGCTCCTAGTTGCATCAGGGCATTGAACGAGTGCGCTGGTAGCGGCCTCTAGCAGACTTGTGCGAAGAATACGGAGGAACACGACCAAGCTTTTCAAACTATTATACTACATATTATGTCATTTGCGTGGGTTCCTGGCCCGAGCTTCACATGGACTCGCAAACCCTTGCTCAACAGGCACACCCCCGTATGCACTTTATCTCAGGCAACGGTGCCATGTAGCATCTAATTATCTGCGTCCCCAAAGAATCTCTTGCTAGGTCTGTATGAGACAAACGAACTTGTGCGACAATCCCTATGTAATCCTTGCAGAGTTCCCATGCACACCCAATGTCGTCACGCCATACTGCAGCACACAACAACAAAAAGGCAAGGTAAACCCTAATTCCGAAGCCCAAAGCTTCAAATCCTAAAATGTAAATCTTCAAATCCAAACTCTAGACCCTAAACCAGCTGACTAGGTCAGCTCAGGCGTTCCCAGCGCATTTATACCACCGTTGACTGGCCTTTTACGGGTTACCCGGGGCCCTTTCGATTTTGAGCTCAAGTTCCACACTTTTGGGCTTAGCATTTACTTCAACAGACTCATGAGTAGAGCACTCCATTATCGTATCGGTTCTTAGTAGGAAACATGGGAATACACGCTATATAGGGATTATATCGGGATCACGTTCGCCTATTCCCTACTAAGAACCAGTAGGTTCTGAGAAGCCCTGAAGCCTCTTATCCCTACACTGGATAAGGCTGTACAGTAATCCTTCACCCCCTCGACATCGCAGCCCTGATCTCTAAACCCTCTGTATTACCTAAACCCCAAAGTTATGTAAAATGATCGCCAATAATAGCCATAAAGGCCATTATTTTACATACTTTTGGGGTCCAGGTACTGTTTGCCCGTACAAGCTACAAGCTCCTTCAGAGGATCTAGGGTACCGCGGCGTTGACCCAAAAAACCTTTTCTCAAGACCCTGAATCCTCAACCTAAAATCCCCTAATCTCAGCCCAAAAAAACCTAAGCACCAAACGCCCCTAAACCTTAAAAACCAAAACCTCGTTTCTACATCCGTCCTGCTCCAGGCTACGGCGCCCCTCGACCAAGACCAGCGCCCCGGTCGAACCGGAGCTCTGGCAACCTGGTTTAGTTTGGAGGTTTACATGAGGGTTCGGTCTGAGGGTTCAGGCTTAGGGTTATGGGTTTAGAGCTTAGGGTTTAGGGTTACAGGTTCGGAGTTAGGGCTTACGGTTTAAGGTGTAGGGCATAGGGTTTACATGAGCTACTGTTAATCTTACTCAGATAATTACTGGACGCGGTTTCCTGAATAGGGACTATAATTGGGAGTATATTAAGCTACAAGAAGCACCCCAATGTCCATTGATGAGGGTCCCATAATAGGCCCAATAATATTGACAGTGGCTCACATGGGGTTTAGGGTCTAGATTTTGGGGTTTAGGGTCTAGGGTTTAGAGTTCAGGGTTCATAGGGTCAGGGTCTATAGGGTTTGGATCTTTCTGATGGGGGGTTTAGGTCCCTTTATATGGGGTATAGGGGTTGCGTCGGGATATGTCATTCCTGGAGTTTAAGGGTTACAAGTACTTATCTCTGCTTAACGGGGAGTAGGGTAGGGAATATAGGTACCAGCAAAAAGGATTATACAGGTGGGACTTAAACTATCGGGCTCAGGTTTTCTTGTGGAGGCTTTTTCACTTAGTGTCCAAATGAGGGTCTGAAGACTTTCATTTTCGGCTTTCATGTACGTAGAGGCTTGAAGGTTTGGGGCCTCGGGGTTTAGGCGCTGGGATATAGGGCAGGTACCCCTGAAAATTAGGTGCCGTACTACAATTTGTACCAAAAAGGGGCACATGATGTTGAGAATAACCCGTTTAGGCATTGGGGGTAGGGCTTCAGTTTCAAGTTTGGCGCTTCAAGCGTTCCAGTGAGGTTCAGGGTTCAAATCTAAGGTTCATGGCTCAAGGTCTGCGAAGGCGCAATGAGGCAGGGTTTAGGGCTTAGGGCTTATTGTTTAGGGTTTAGGGCTTTGTGAGAACTACTTCCTTAAGGCCATCCCTCCTGAAAGCAATCCCACTTCTCCTTCAAGAAGCCCTCACCCAACCATGAGATGCTGACTTCAAGGACCTCCAGGCAGGAACTCCCCAAATACATACCACCCCATGTTCCTTAAGTGAACTTATTTGGGGTTTCCCAAAATGAGGGGTACCTGTTTGGGGGTTCCCTATAATGAGGACTATAAGATTTTGGGGTCTATATTGGGGCTCCCTTATTTTGGGAAACTACCATCTATAACCCTTATCAAGGCGGAACCATGGGGAGGGAAATCCATGGTTCATAGGAAGAAGCCCCAACTTTGACCTGCAGACCAAATTCGCTGACGCCTAGACCCAAAAGACCTTCAGTTTGGGGAGCCTCCAGTATACATGTTCCTATGAGATCATAAAACTGAAGATCCTTGGCGCAACACACCTGCAAAGTCTGATAAACTACGATCACGTGCATTTCTGCAAGGTTCTGCCGAATGGAGCAGCACACGCAAAATTCCTTATCTAAGCAAAAAATGAAATGCTAAACCCTAAACCCTAAACGGTCATTGCCCCCCCACACCCCACATTGGACAAGAAGCGCCGTGCCATCTTGAAAACATGTTTCATGGCCAGCACGGTCCACTTCAGGACTACAGGACTGAAGGTTCCACACGGTTGGAGGGTTTAGGGCTAAGGGCTTAGGGTTTAGGGCTTGGGGTTTAGGACTTACTTGGAGGGTCAGGGGGACTTAGTAAGCAGCTTAAGAAGGGGAATAACTGGGTTTACTATATGGGTTATAGGGGTTAATAACCTACTTACTAAGTCCCCCTGACCCTTCAAGTAGGGGTATACCCTAAACCCTAAACCCTAAACCCTATAATGATGTTGCATAGAATCATGAGGCTCTGGGACTTAATCTGCTTAAAAAAGGCTGATGAGGCTTCAGCTTAGAGGCTCTGCAGCTTCGCCTCGTTTACAGTTCCCCTTGAGTAGATAGAATATAGGGGTTATATCGGGATAATGGAAAAGAAAATGGAAACTACTGTTTAGGGTTTAGGGTATCGTCCCACTTATGTGGATAGAATATGGCTTTGGGTAAGTTATAGTAAGATCCCCAATACCCATATC